GCCCCTGCCAGCCCCCCGCCCCTGCCAGCCCCCCGCCCCTGCCAGCCCACGTCTGGCATTACGCCGTTGCTCTGTACGGTGCCTCCGTTTCCCCTGGGAGATGCGGGTGTCCTTGGTGTCCTCATAGGCTGGTGTGGGCCTGGCGTCTCAGCCAAGAATTGCTTTCACCACACCCCACCCACCCTGGCACATGACTGAGGGGCTGCGTGCCCCGATGCCCTCCCCCACCCCTCAGCCCAACCTCTACCGCTGCCCAGGATAGACCACAGAGCCCCACGCCCATTTCCCCCTCCTGACCCCGCGGGGCACAGAAGAGCCACAAAAACCCACGCCAGGCTCTCCCAGCCACGTGGCCCCCACCCCTGCTGGTGGGCAGATGCCTCTTCCTCAGAGCCCGCCCCCCTCCCCCCGCCGGCCGGGCATCGCCCGCGGGCCAGCACTCGCCGCAGGACACCCATGATGGAAGCGGACTGCATCGGCGAGGGAAGAGGTCACTGCAGGAATGAATACATGCGTGGTGAGCAAGTGGAGGTGAAGGAGGGAGACTCCACCAATCCCGGGCAGGCCACCTGGTCCCACGGCTGGATTGTGGGACCCACTGCCCCGAGTGGCACATTGGAGATGGCGTGGGAGGAGCTGAGGGAGACACCCTGGGTGGCTGCCAGGGCCAGGTCCCGCCAGGGACACGACCACTCGCCGCCTGTCCTACAGCGCCACCACGTGGTCACCATGGGGGTTGCCGCTGCCCGCCACAGTCAGGGACAGGCTAGGGGACAGACTCCTGCAAGGGCAGATTCCAAGGAGCATCTCCACCTTGCACCCTCGAGGGTTGCTGTCCCCACTGCACAGCCTTCCGACCCTCCTGAGCCTCTCAGAGCATGCGGTGGCGAGTGGGCAGAAGGCATCTCCCCTGGAGAGCCTGCCAGCCCCGTCCAGGCCCAAGTTCCCAGACGGTGTATCCCGCTGGCTTCTCTGTCCGCCCCTGAGCACAAAGGTCCAGCACCGCCGCTGTGGGCCCCTGCACAACCCTGCCTGGCCCGGCTCCCAGTGGGTCTTAGGCAGAGCTGCACAGCACCTGCCTCGCTGAGAGTCATCTAAAGATCATCCCAAAGGCCGGGAGCCTGTGGCTCACACCTGTCATCTTGGCTACTCAGGAGGCTGAGATCTGAGGAGCACAGTTTGAAGCCAGCATGGGCAGAAAACACTGTGAGATTTTGTTTGTTTGGTCATGGAGCTTGAACTCTGGGCCTGGCGCTGTCCCTCAGCTCTTCAGCTCAAGGCAAGTGCTCTACCACATGAGCCACAGCACCACTAACGGTTTTCTGGTTTATTGGCGGTAAAAGTCTCAGGGACTTTCCTGCCCGGGTTGGCTTTGAACCACAATCCTCAGATCTCAGCCTCCTGAGTAGCTAGGCTTGGAGGCGTGAGCTGCCAGCGCCGGGCTTACTGTGAGATTCTTACTACCAGAAAGCCAGAAGTGGATGGAACTGTGGCTCAAATGTCAGAGTGCTAGCCTTGAGTGAAAAAGCCAAGGGACAGTGCCCAGGCCCTGAGTTCAAGCCCCAGGACTGGCCCTAGAAAGAAGGGAGAGAGGAAAGGAAGGCCTCAAATTGCAGCCAGTGATGGTAGAACACAGTGCCCATGGCGCGCCCGCCTGTGTCGGTCCTGAGCTCACACTGAAGTCAGAACCCGGTGGCTCACGATGCCTGTCTCTGCGGAGGAGCGTGTAGGTGTATTTAGTCGGGGCGAGTGGTCTTGGAGTCAGGTGGGTCTGAATCCCACTTGTTGTGTCCTAATGAAAGTTGGGGGTTGGATACCGACAGGGAGTGGCAGGTGGAAATCGAGGCAGGGACAGGGTGGTGCTTCTGCAAGCCAGGCAGCAAGGAGGGCAGCAGCGCTGTCTGGAAACGAGTTGGGCGTGGGGGGCACCTCCCTGCCAGCAGCTGGGCCCCAGGAGCTGCCCCCCACCCCGCCCCTGCCCCCTGCCCCTTCCCTGAGCCTGGCAACGGTGGCTCCCGCCTGTAATCCTAGCTACTCAGGAGGCTGAGATCAGAGGATCATGGTTCAGAGCCAGCGCGCACAGGAAATTTCAAGAGACTCTTATCCTCAGATCTCAGCCTTCTGAGTAGCTGGGATTACAGGTGTGAGCCACCTGGGCCCGTCTTTTGTTACTGATTCTTTGTGACCTTTTCCTGCCCACTTGGACGATGCGGTTTGTCTCAGATGCTGACAGTACAGAAACGTCATCCAGGAGTAATCCAAGGAGACGAGCTCCATCTCCAGGATGGAACTTGGGGGTTGTCGTGGAGAAAGCCAGTCTGCAGCTGGTTGTGATAACGTGCCCCTCAATGCTGCGCACCACTAGAGGGCAGCAGGGGGAGGGGCAGGGCTGTGGGGCTCTCAGAGCTCGGGGTGGCTACTGGGGGCCCAGGGTGCGCCAGCTCTGTAGCCGAGGACACTGGGGACCGGCGATGGGCAGCCCCGGGGGTAGGAGACGCCTTACTTCTCGGCTCTGCAGGGCTGGTGTCACCAGCTGGAGCGCGGGAGGGAACGTGGCGAGAGCATTGGCAGGCCTCTCACCTGGTTGATTTCTTCAGGAAGATGGAACCCCAAACTCAGGACACCACGCTCGCACTCACATCACACCAGTGGGCTTGGACCTCCCTCCCGGCCCCTGGCTGCCGCCCGCCAGCCAGAGGGCTTCCCGTCCCCCCAGAAGAACTCTGCAAGCCCATGTTGGTAGGGTCAGGTCCTGGAGCCCCCGCGCACAGGGGAACAGCAGGGAACAGCTCCCAGCAGGCACAGAGGACTTCTGCAAAGGACTAAGTAGTGCTGTGTGTAGTAGCACAGGCCTGGAATTCAACCCCAGGGAGCCTGAAGCAGGAGCATCATGAGTGCCAAGCCTGGACTGTGTAACAAAAGGGAGGGCGGAAAGCGGGCGCCGTGGCTCACGCCAGGGCAGAAGAGTCTGAAAGACGACCATCTCCAAGCAGCCAGCAAAAACATAGGGTAGAGGCCTGGCTCAAATGGTAGAGCACCAGCCATGAGCTAAGAGAACAAGTCCCTGAGTTCAAGCTCTGGTTCCAGCCCAGAAAAAGAGAAAGGAAGAAAGAAAGTAAAGAAGGAAGGAAATAAAAGAAAGAGGGAGGGAGAAGAAAAGAGAAAGACAGAAAACTCGTATGAATTTTGACATACGGGTCTCTGCCCCCTCCTTCTCCTCACCCTCCTGCTTCTCATCTTTTGCTCTGTATGTGTGTGTGTGTGTGTGTGTGTGTGTGTGTGTGTGCATGTGTGCATTTCCTTTTAAAAGAAACCATTCTTAGCTGATGGGCTGTACAAAAAATAGGCTCTAGGATGTGGTTTGCCAAACCTTAGCTTACAGACAAGACTTTTGAGATGTGTCACTTCTATACTGGCAGAGCCCTGGGGAACATGTGGAAGTAGATTCTGGAGTGTTAGGCAGAGGAGGCTGAAATAGAACCCCAGCTGGGCCTCCCCGGGTGTAGCTGGAGCCCTGACCTCCGGCTCATTCACCTGAGGGCCGAAGTCGGGGCTCCAGGCTCCTGTAGTGTGAGACCGGAGGCGTCCTCAAGAGTGCCCTGCACACGCCCCAAAGACACACCCTTCACTAGGGCCTGAGACCCACACTGACGAGGCAAGTCCCTGCTGAGCTTCGTAGGCCAAAGCCTGCGGGCCGGCATGGGCTCCATGGCTTCCAGTGGACAGGGGGCCCGGGCAGGAGAAGCCCTGCAGCGGGCCGCTGGGCAGCCTGCAGGACCCCTGGGAACACAGCCCATTGCTGTGCTGTGTGCCCCGAGGGACAGAGATCAATCTTGAGGTCTGGTGGCCAGTCTGGGTTGCCAGGGTGGACTCAGTGGGGCCTCTCAAGTTATACTGTGATGGTCACGTGACGGGCCCAAAGCCCTGGGCCTCCAGGAAGCCCTGGACTGGAGGTGGGGCCGGAGAGCCACCGCCAGGCCACCCCACAGGGCCCATGCAGGGGGGGGGACTGGGGGGGGGGAGATGCGCGAGCAGCCCGGGAACCCCAGCTCTGGCTGGAAGTGGACTTTCACAGGTCCTGGAGACCAGAGCCAGATTTATGGGGCTCAGAGGACATGGAGCCTGGGCCCGTTGGACCCCCGTGGGGTGGGAGCCCTTACAGCCTGCCTGGGGCCCGCACCCCGGCCTGGAGCCAGCAACTGGATGCGTGACAGAGCAACCGCAGTCATCCTGAGGTGCGGGGCAGGGACCCCTTCCCGGGAAGGCACCACCCTCCTCCCCCCCCCAGCCCCCCCCCCCCCCGCGCAGCCGTGTCTCCTGAATCCCAGCAGCTGTCCTGTCCCTGGTACCCCTGGCCAGGCCCCCGAGGGAGAAAGGCTTCTGCCAGGGAGAAGCTGGGGGCTGCGCCAGCCCTCCCAACCCTGGGCTGGTGGGGGGCTGGGAGACTTGAGGGGCTGGGAGACTGGGGGAGCTGGGGGGCTAGGGAATTTGGGGTGCTGGGGGATTTGGGGAGCTGGGGGATATGGGGCGCTGAGGGGCTGGGGAGCTGGAGGGCTGGGAAGCTGGGGGTCTGGGATGCCGGCCCTCCAGACCCCGAGCTGGCGGGAGGCTGAGGGTGCTGGGGGAACTGAGGTCTGGGGAACTTGGGGTGCTGGGGAGTGAACTGGGGGTCTGGGAGATTTGGGGCGCTGAGGGGCTGGGGAACCGGGGGCTGGGGGATTTGGGGCGCTGAGGGGCTGGGGAACTGGCTGCGGGTTTGGGGGGCTGGGGGAGCTGGGCACTGGGGGACTTGGGGGACTGGGGCTCCGGCCCTCCCGACCCCGCGCCGGCTGCGGCAGGTGGCCAGCGAACACCTGCAGTTGTCAAACGCGAGTTCTGAACCGCAACGCCTCCCGCGGGCCGCATCGGCGGGAACAGTGGTAAGCGCCGTGGGCAGCGCGGGGCGGCGGGGCGGCGGGGCGGGGCGGGG